ATTTGAAGAAGCCAGTATACAGAAACATGCAGCTAGCCCAGACCCTCAGGCCTGCACATCAAGATGGCAGGCTGGCCAAGGGTCCTCTGGGGACTGTGGTGCCAGAAGGAGGATTGGACACGGTGACCTGTCTGCATGAGATGTGGGGGAAAAAAAACAGGAGGTCTGTAATACTGATGAACTAATCTGTCACTCACAAGCTCAGGTCTGCAAAAACAAGAAAAGATGCAGTAAACATTTAATGACCATGAAAGGCAGAAGTGCGAGTCTTAATTTTACATGATATTCAAACCCATGGCTCAGAACCTGCTTAACTGCTTGACTTTGAATTGATTTAAAAAAATCATCTAAAGATAACAGTCCATCTTGTACTTCAAAGGTTTAGGAAGCTTGCTACAGTAACTATAAAAAATCCAGTTGATTTCCAAAAACTGTATGAATGAACCAAATTTCTTGATCTTGATGTACTAGGCAGGGAGTTATTCCTAATTTGTTAATTGCTTAATTGTTTGCTTGGGGGAGGGAAAATCCTGGGGAAAGGCACCTATAAGCAATGTCAGTTCCATGAAGCCAGTACACTCTCCCGAGCTGGATCAAGGCCAGCAACACAGTCCACTCTTCCCCTCCAGTGGAAGCAACTGGATATTTGATCCTAGAGATGAATGAAAAAACCTAAAGCTCATAATTCATGGGAATCTTTTAGTATTCTGGGTGGAAAATATTATTGAAAATTGGTTATTTGCTTCTCCAACTCAAATACATTTAGGAACAGAACTCAGAACAAGGAAAACAAAAAGACAAAAATAATGATTATTCCAATATATATTTGAGAAGGAATACACTCAAACATTTACATTATCAAATAGGACTATTCACACCTGCTGAGTAGGTATAAGATGACATTGAAATCAAGAGCAGAAAGAAAAAAAATTCCTTTCTGGTTATAAGTATTGAAAAGCAATGAAATTTATTTTCACATTCTTATCCTTATTGTTAGAAGTAGTTATTCGAGTAAATATTCTTATCTGTGCTACAATTAAAAGGAAATCATCTCAAATGTGTATGTCATCTTCTTTTTTATGTCTGTAGATATGGGCTCAATTTAGGTTTTCTGACTTTATGGTATGCATATGGAACAATATGCTATTTTTCCTTCCTTTTGAATACTAATGTTTTAGTTTCAAAAAATAATCATTTTAGCTTGTACATTTTTAATACAGGAAATTCTACAACCTTCAGAACACTTGCTTTTATAATTTATTCAGTTGACTTTTGAAACAAATAATTTATGAGAAGTAAAATCTTCAGAAAACATGTGGATTCTTTAATGTAACTATTACAAAGTATTCGTAACAGGTCATTAATATGTGTAGATCTGGGACATACTGAACCTTTAAAAATTACCTAAGAGTACATAAAAAATACAGAGCTATGAAATAATAACAACCAGTTTTAAATCATGACAAATTAGAAGTTTGTCTGTATAATGAACTGTATACCAATTCCTTGTTAGAAGTACATACTTAAACCTTTTAATAAACCTTTGCAATTATTTCCAATAAACAATATTACATAACAAATTAGAAGCATCTCCCCTGTTATTGTTTCCAAGCTCTCTTCCCCAACTACAGGAAACATAAATAAAAGGAAACCCTGTTTCTTATTTGGGACTGAAACACAATAATTTTGCACAGTATTAAGGCCATACTATGACATACGGAAGAGAGGAAATCCTTGAACTTAAGAAAAGTTTTATTAAACAGGGTGACGCTGTTATCCTGAGCTCCAGTTTTATATGTACACAAAAAGGTCATCTTTTTTAATGGAGATTTATGTAATTCTATATACCACAATTATTTTAGCTATATTTCATGTACTGAACTTACTGATCAGTGAACACTCACACTGAAATGGGTATTCACAGTCAGCAAATAAAATCAGTCTTTACATATTTTCTCCTGACAAATATATGCCGGGAGATCTGACTTTATATATGTCTGTATAACAAAAGCCAACTTGAAAGTTTTAAAAAAATATTGGTCTGTTGAAACAGATATCTACTGGTTTTGAAATAGTGTGAGCCTGTGGATAGAAATACAGTATTATATTTCTGACAGTTTCCATCTAAAAATACATTATGAAGCATGCTGGTGTTAATAAACCATGTGCTTTCAGAACTCAGAAGTGCTTTGTTGAAAGTATAATTTTGTTGCAAACAGTTAAGATGGTCTATTTTCACCGTGCTTTTAAGATACAGCAAACAAATTTTGTATCCTCACCTCACCAGCATGCCTTGATTGGAAAGTGTGAAAAAAATAAAAACTTTTAGGAGTTTATCAATATTTATAACCATATTCTGATTGATGAGTTAACAGTTCATAAGTAAGCAGAGACAACTTAGTAAAATTTGGATCAAAAATGCACCACCAAAAAAAGGAAATTCCCATTTTATTCACCCCACCCCCATCATATAAAAATCACCCTTCTTTGCAGCAGGGCACCATCATGCCTTTCACCACTTTAGTTATTTGAAGGCAAATGAAAATACAATGATCCTTTCCTCTTCTAATTTAGCTCACAAGGCAAACATTTAAACCCAAACCTAAACTACCGATTTCACAGAAAGCACCAAACAGAAAGAGCAAGACTCACTGACCCATTTGGAAGACAAAGACGACAGAACAGGAAAGCTCTAAAAAATCAGCTTGTGAGGCCTCTGAGAGATATTCTTCTGGCATTTCATCACAGCAGCTCCAGACCAGTTCACCTCCCTGGATACAGGGAGGAGGAACTAAATAGAGCTGTTTATTAAAGCTGTTGTGCTGGATTGCATTAGGAGGCGCGAGCAAACCACCTGGACCTTTCAGATTGTGGCAGTGTTTAATTTGCAGGCTGCCCCCTCTGAAGCAGCCCAGACCACTACATTTACCAGGCTCAGTCACACGTTATCTGGGTTAGAAGTACAGCACGTGGATTTATATATTTATATTTTCCTTAGAGAGAGAGAATGCAGCCAAAATAAAAAATATAAAACAGAAAAAATTTAACTACTCCCTAGGAAACATAACACTTATGTCCTTCCTTCTTCAGAGATCACAATTTCAATGGAAAATAAATTCTTAAAAATAGGCTTCTTTAAACATTCAGACCAAATTATACATTTGATTGGTTCTGTAATTTTTTTTTTGTTTTAGTCGTTGTTTTTAGTTTCTGTTTTTAAGCATTGCATTGAAGTTTTAAGCTGAGATTTCCTGGCTAGATTTAATGGGTGCCTTTTGCCTTTCGCACTTCCAGCACTATGCTGGCAGGTTGCTGAAGATACAGATAGAAAGATGGAACTGTAAATATGAATTATGTGAATCATATGGTGAGACCCTTGTGGAAAAAAAGGGAGTTGAGAAATGGCTGACTCCATACCTGACCAATTACAGCTTGCATGGTCCCCGTATCCTGCTGGGCTGAGAGATCGCAATCCATCATATGTTGTCTTTGAAAAGGAGAATGGGAGTTTCTGGCATGCATCTGTCAATCAACTTCTGCACTCAAAACCATCACCAAAAGCAAGGGGGAAAAAAGTCAAGCTGCTCCACCAAACAGGATGAAACCATCATGTGACCTCCGGCAGCCACGCACACACACATCCACTACCTCCATGGAGCGTAAGAATTTTCTGTAGATATGAAATGACATTGACAAATATCCAATACCAAGTAAATAAATTGAGACAAACTGCTATTCAAAGACAAAACATTGGCTGTAATCTTCGGCGAAAGGTTTAACAAACCTATGAGGATTTTTTTAATGCGCTAGAAACCTATAAAACAAAAACAGGAACAAAACCAAAATTAACTATTTCAGGTGATAACTAAGGCTTTGATTTGGATGCCAGCATATGTATTTTCTCAACTCTGTAATTTATTACCGTTCTTCTCTTAAGTTGTCCCTAATGATTTCATTTTCAGATTCTATAAATGACCTTTTGACAATATGCAGTAATGTGCAGTTTTACATAACATCACCTTTATAGAAAAGCTTGAAATGTTAACCGTCGAATAACACAAATACCCTGATATTTGTTGATTGGAAATGGACATATACAATCATTTGTGTAAACTGGGATGACCACTCAAATATAAAATATTCAAAGTGTGTAAATAGTATTCACTAAACTTTTCATCTTCTAAAAGGTTAGGAAATTATTTACTTGCAGCTCTTCTAAACTGATGTAACGTGATGACAGATATTTCAACTTTTTTTTCATTTAATTTATTTGATCCCAAACACTCTAGCCTAGATTGTTGATGTGTTAGGAGTCAGCTGTTGGAAGGGGACATGAATGTAACCCAGCAGCTATTTAACCCTTTCAGGATTAGGATCAGAACCCGATTTTCAAGACAACCTGACAGATATTACAAAGTTGCTCTTTGAAAATATCAAACCATAAAAAGGCGCTACTGATTTGGGAGCTTTGTGAAGTTATTAACGTTTGCATTTGTCCACTTGTTAAACTTATGTTCATTAGTTGGTGGACTTATAGTCCAAAATTTTTCACAGAGAAACTTTGTGTTATTATAAGTGCGGATGCTTTTTCAGGATTCAAAACTAACGTTTAGCTTGGGAGGTAGAGAAGTTATAGTAAGTGTTTAACACTTAAACTGTCATGTGTATTACAGCACTGTATTACATCAGTGCTCGAAATAAAAGGAACTTCAAGTAAGGGGAAAAAAACAATTTTCAACATTTCTAAAGAAAGCTTTAACAGGAAGAACGAAGTACTGAAGTTTCATATAGATTTATTAAGAGTCGCCCCACAGTATAAACAGATTTACACACACACACACACACACACACACACACACACACGCAGAGATGGACATCCCCGGGCACCCACTGGGCGGCCCTCCCGGGAACGGACGGTGGACAGGTGGGCCCAAGCAGGACTAACATGCACAGCCGGCGCGGAACCCCGGCCGTCCCCGCCCCCGGAGACGCAGACCTACCCGGGGTCTCTGCAGTCACTCGGGTCGGACGCGGCTCGCACGCCGCCGCCGCCGCGGGGCAACCGGGCCGGGCCGCGTGGGACGTGGTAGGGCCGCGTCCTCCTTGCCCCGGCGAAGCCCGCGGGCTCGCGCAGGCAGCGAGGGCGCCGCGGCTCCTAGCGTCGCCCTCCCGGGCCCCTGCCCCGCTGACTCCCGCCAGGCGGAGTGTGGCGGACCGGGAAAGTTGCAGAGGAGGGGCGAGCTGAGCGGCGCCGCGGGGCCCCAGACCCTTCGCGCCACGCGGCGCCGCTTGGGAAGCCCAGCCCGGGCCTGGGGATGGCTGCCCCGCACCCTCCGCTGCCACCAACTCGCTGCAGATCCCCTCCCCCTGGGATCGAAGCTTCCCGGCTTCTTCCCCCAACCCCCGGAGGGATGGGGTCAGGCCACAGGAGCAGGCCAAAGACCCCCTTTTGAAGCTCCATTCTCTGAATAATAGTGGTCCAGGTTGGCTGAGGGACAACTGTTTGCTTACACTCGGGTTGTTTAATGACCATTTAACCTATATTAATTACAGTCATTACTAGCCAACACTGATGGAGCCCTGAGGACAGGCACTGTCAGACACTTGACCTTACATTTGCCCACTAAATCCTCCTAACTCATGAGGCAGGTACAATTATTCCCATTTTACAGATGAGATACACAAAAAAAGATATCTGCTTAAGATTTACAGGACCATGTTTGAATCTGCTCTGAATCCAAGGATGGAGCTTTCATATGAAACCCAACAGGTAAAATTCAGAATAATGGCTACCATATATAAAGTACAGGCCCATTCAACAAATATTTATGGAGACTGTACTTGTGCCAGGTACTGTTTTAAGTAAGTACTAGACATGCAGCAAAACAGACATAGTTCTTCAAGGATCTTACCATGATGATAGTTTGGACAGATATTTGTTGAAAAATCACCTTACTGTAAAACTTTATGCTGAAAGCTATGGAGGAAAGCAAATGAGTAATGTGAGAACCTGTATCCAAGGAATTAGTCTAGTCTTGGGTGAATGGGTGAGCAAAGGAGAGTCAGTAAACCTTCCCTAAGCAACTGACCTGAAATAAACTAAAATCAGAACAATGTTAGGAGAAAATGGGACTGGGAGTGATGCGGGTAAACATTCTCCATGGAAGAAATAGGCAAAGGTGGACAGGAGCATGGCTTATCGGAGAGGCTCAAAGAAAGCTGTGTACCTGGTGTGGAGCACAGACAGTAAGGGAGAGGGAGCCTGGAGGCAAAAACCGGAGCCCACAGGGTCTCTTTGGTTGTATCAAAGATCCTTTACCTCAGCCAGGAGCACTGAGAAGCCCCTGAGAATACTGTAAGCAGTGCAGTCTCACACTTAAATTTTGAAAGATGTCTTAAGATATAGAGGGGAAAGTTAGAGGTGGGGGCAGGGAGGAGGGTAATGAAAGTGGACTTGGTGAGCCCAGTTAGGTATACATGGTGGTGCTGATGATGAAGGCAAGATGAGCTGAGGAAAAGAGGTATAATTCACAGAACTTGAAGGTTGAATGCTAGTGGAACTTGGAGGAGAGGGAGCTGTCTTTCTGGTTTGCACAAAATATGTAGTCTGATGCCATGTGCTGAGCTAGAGAATTAGCAGAAAGACTGGGATAGAGAAAGATGGGAGGGATCATAATTTTGGTTTGAGACTTAATTTTCACAGAGGGAATGATGATCCCTCTTTTTCAAATGGAAAATCTAGGGGCCCTGGGGGGTGAAATAACTTGCCCACAGCCAGGCAGTAGCAAGCAAGGTTCATTTTGGAGGGCAAATCAAAGTGCTTGACCCCTGCACTAGACTGCTTTGGGTGGGCTGCTGTTTCTGGGGTTGTCCAGTTGATTAAAGTCATTCTACCAGGAAGCCAAGGAAGTTGATGACCAGAAGCATTCTTCTACGAACAGGTCTCATAATGAAAAGTCTCCAGATGGCATGAATTAAGGCACCTCACTTGGGCATGAAAGCTTGTTTGGGACCCTCAGGCCCTGCCCAAATCAAACGGAAGGGCCGGTCTAGCACACCAAAGGCTGGAAGAATGCAAAGATAAAAACTCAAAGGTAGTGTTGAATTGCTCAACTACCACCTTGTATGTCTATTGTGAGTAAGATCTTCTGGTAGGTTCTCTAGGTAATGCAGAGTTCGAATTAAGACCTGCTTCCTGACATTCAAAGATTCATAATCTAGTGGGAAACACAGACACATGTACATGGCTTAAATGCAGTACAGATTGCTCTGAATAAATAAACCAAATGTACAAAAAGTGATGCTATCTGGTGAAAGATATGCACATTTTTAAGCACAGAAATGCACAGGCATGGGTTAGTGGGTCAGTACCTACTCCAGGCCTTCCCTCTGACTGGGTGTGGCCTTGGGAAACTGGCAGTTTCTCTGCATCATGAGATGCCATCTTAAAACTCCTCAGAAGTACTGAAAGGACTGGGGGGAGATACTGTGTTGTGAGAGCCTATGGAGTTATACTCTGTAGATAACCAGCAAATGTTAATTATTTGGAAGGATGAATTCTGCTGGGGAGGAGAGACAGAGTCCATGAAGATGGTGGAAGGATCTTGAGTGTGAGGTAAACAGAGGGCGTCTTCTGTACAGGGAATAGAGAATAACACGAGTCAAGCCATCAGTGTGAGTGGCAGACACTTAAGGGTAAAGCAATGAAAATCAAATGGAGAAGGACCGGAAGTATTTCAACTAATTTTTACTCCCACTTCCACAATAGAATTTAGGAAACAAATTTCATTAAGTGAAATATTCACCATTACCAGCACCTCTTCTGCTTTCCCCTTTCCCCACCAAATTTCCATAAAATGGTGTTTTTTCCAACCCTCTAAGGCCCCTGCTTTGCACCACAGATCAGTGGGACATGCCCTTTTCCCACCAGCTGACCACCTTGTATGTAAGACAGCAACAGATCACTGCAAATCAGGCCTAGCCTCCAACTTCTCAGGATAGAGATGTCCTTAATTTCTTAATTATTAAGGCACAAAGGATACCGACAGAGAAATGTTGCACAGGGAACCAAGATAAAGTTGGAGGTGTTGGTCATCTCTGTAATTCAATAAATCCTTTACAATTAACGTTCAAGGTGAGACGAGATAATATAATTAGTGCTTCTAGAACACAAGACCCAAAAAAAGAGAACATTCAACAAAAGTCACCAAGAGGAATCCGCTCCTAGTTACCTTGGTATATTTCCACCTATGCTCTCACAACACGCAGGCTTACATCAGTTCTATACTCCTGCCCTCTCTCTGCTAAGACTTTTCTTTCTCTCCCTTGTTATTTATTCCTTTGAAACAGTTTTATTTCTTCATTTCTCTACTACTCTTTGCTTTTCATTCCTCTGCTTCCTTATCCCTAAAGGTTAATCCTACCATTCCTCTAACTAGTTTGTTTTTTTCTCCAGATCTCCCACCGCCCCCATCCTTCTTAGATGTCCACATGACTTCAGCCGTCTTCCTAGAATACGAATCATAGCATGCTCTGGAGTTTGCTCACCATGCAGGTGAACTGCATGATTTTCACAGCTGATGCAAGAGCAAGGGCTGGGCAGGTGGAGTCCACAGCCAAGGATGCCATGACTTCCCATGCTGCAGTTGTCAAGTTTCCTCCCCTTTGGCACATCTCCTGCCTTCTCTTTCAAGGTCAAGTTTCCCTAGAGTTTCATTTGGCACGCCCCACCTCTGGAATGATCCATTGCTTTCTCTCTTTGCACCCCCTTCAATATCACATTTTTGCCTATCATTTCAAGTTTTGTAGATCATTTTTCTGGAATGCTCTTTTCAACCACCATCCGTTTCCTCAAACAGCATTAGACAGATTTTGCTTCCACAGGCCCTTCAGCAGCCCAACTAATCTGTACCCTGGGATCTGTTATTATTGTTACTTTCATATTTCTGGGGAAGTTGAGTGTAGGAAAAGTACCCAAAGCAGAATTATTATTTTTAAAAGAGAATGTGGAGAAGGGAAATCCCAGCACACCAAGACCCAGGGACTGCAGAATGAGAAGTAGCTTGACAATGCCGAGCCAGGAACCACTGGTGGTGAGGACCTGTGATTTAGTTTTCTTCTACAACATAATTTAGTAGTACTGTTTTTCCCCTGAGAGACAGTGACAATATTTTGCCTTTCAAATTAATAGCTCCCTGTTGCCTCTGGGCAAGGATGGCCTGTGAACATACTGATGCATTATCAGACCTCCAGCCTTATCATCCTTCCTACCAGGTGACTGTATCCTGGATAAACTCAGAAAAAGCCAGCACAAGGAACCAAATGTCCTTTAATTTCCATTCACCCCTTTCAGAAAATGCTTTGGTTACAGTTATACATTTTGGTCTTCCAGAATCTACGTCTTCTGCCTGACCACCCTTGGAAAAAAGGCATTTAAATGCTCCTGGGCTTCACTGTAGTCTGCCATTTTGGTGTCTGAGTTGCTGATACATAACTTCTCATGAAAATTCTCCACGTTGGTGCAAGCACACACTTTGTCTCCCTACTGTACACTAGGGAGACTTTTCCTCTTGATTTCATGGTTATAGCTACACATGACTGGAATAACTACAAACCACTGTCCTTTTATTCCTCATATCAATACATTCACAGTGCTTCAACCTAAACCTAATTCTACTCTTTCAAAGGCAAGTATTTTGCAGTGGATGTCTGCGTGGCTCATGGACAGAACTGCACCACTCAGAGCTCTAACTTTGGAAAATCCATTTCTATCCTGGTTTCTCTAACATCACCCTCATTATCGTCATAACCATTATCAATAATCATAATGACAATGACAATAAACAACAGGGGTGGTTCCTAAGGTGTAGTTTGGTTTGAAAAGTCCTGAGGGTCCCTGAGATCCTTTTAGGGGCTCTGCGGGGTCAAAATGTTTTTTAAATAATACTAAAATGAGAGCTGCCTTTTTCACTCTCATTTTCTGAGGAGAGTACAATGGAGTTTTTCCAAGACTTCCTGACATGTGATTTCATAGCAGATTGAACTCACAAGTAGCTATGGTCCCAAGTATCTTCTAGTATGCCAGACACTACCAAAATTTGCAACAATGTAAAACAATGCCATTCTTCTCACTAATTATCTAGTTTAGGGAAATACAGTTAACGTCACTAAAAAATTATGTAATTATTTTAAATGACTTCATAAACAAACATTTTAGATTATCTTGGTTTTAATTTCTAAAATAATAAATAGTGATAAATACAACCTGTAAACGCAGAAGCTTTCTGAAGGGCTAAATAATTTCATAATAGTATA